GTGAGCGCTTGTGTGTGTGTGGCGATTGACCTTTGACCCCCAGGAATACCGGGCGAGAGGTCACACGATAAAGGTCAACCTCTTGTGTATTCGCGCGCGCGTGTGTGTGTGTGGCAATTGACCTTTGACCCCCAGGAATACCGGGCGAGAGGTCACACATACAGGAAAACCTCTTGTGTATTCGTGCGTGTGTGTGTTGTGTGGCGATTGACCTTTGACCCCAGGAATACCGGAGAGGTCACGCAATAAAGGTCAACCTCTTGTGTATTCGCGCGCGTGTGTGTGTGTGGCGATTGACCCTTGACCCCCAGGAATAGCGGGCGAGAGGTCACACGATAAAGGTCAACCTCTTGTGTATTCGCGCGCGTGTGTGGTGTGGCGATTGACCCTTGACCTCAGGAATACCGGGCGAGAGGTCACACGATAAAGGTCAACCTCTTGTGTATTCGCGCGTGTGTGTGTGTGGCGATTGACCCTTGACCTCGTTTATCCACAATGAGGTCGTCGATGATTGTAGGGTTGGTGGCTTCCATCACCGCCATGCTCGCTGTCATCATCATCACTATGGTCGGTAAGTCATAAGAGAGAGAAGGAGGAGAAGGAGAAGGAAAGGGAGAGAAGGAGGAGAAGGAGAAGGAAAGGAGAGAAGGAGGAGAAGGAGAAGGAAGGAGAGAGGAGGAGAGGAGAGGAGGGAGAGAAGGAGGAGAAGGAGAAGGAAAGGGAGAGAAGGAGGAGAAGGAGAAGGAAAGGGAGAGAAGGAGGAGAAGGAGAAGGAATGGGAGAGAAGGAGGAGAAGGAAAGGAGAGAAGGAGGAGAGGAGAAGGAAAGGGAGAGAAGGAGAAGGAGAAGGAAGGGAGAGAAGGAAGAAGGAAGAAGGAAAGGGAGAGAAGGAGGAGAAGGAGAAGGAAAGGGAGAGAAGGAGGAGAAGGAGAAGGAAATAGGAAAGAGAGATGAGAGGATATGTAAAAGGGGGAAGGAGGGGGGGGGAAGAGAGAGGGAGGTGTGAAAGAGAGATGAGAGAATATGTAAAAAGAGGAAGGAGGGGGAGAGTCATAAGGGAGAGAAAGAGGAGAAGGAGAAGGAAATGTGAAAGAGAGATGAGAGAATATGTAAAAAGGGAAGGAGGGGGAGGGGGGAAGGAGAGAGGGAGGTGTGAAAGAGATGAGAGAATATGTAAAAGAGGAAGGAGGGGGAGAGTCATAGGGAGAGAGGAGGAGAAGGAGAAGGAGAGATGGAGAGAAGGAGGAGAAGGAGAAGGAAAGGGAGAGAAAGAGAAGGAGAAGGGAGGAGAAGGAGGAGGAGAGAAGGAGAAGGAGAAGGAAAGGGAGAGAAGGAGGAGAAGGAGAGAGGAAAAGGGAGAGAAAGGAGGAGAAGGAGAAGGAAAGGGGGAGAGAGAGGAGGAAAGAAGGAGAGAAGGAAGGGAGAGAAGGAGGAGAAGGAGAAGGAATAGGAAAGAGAGATTATGTAAAAGGGGAAAGGAGGGGGGGGGGAAGGAGAGAGAGGAGGTGTGAAAGAGAGATGAGAGAATATGTAAAAGAGGAAGGAGGGGGAGAGGGGAGAGAAAGAGGAGTCAGATGAGAGGAATATGTAAAAAGAGGAAGAGAGTCAAAGCGAAGGAAATGGAAAGAGAGATGAGAGAATATGCAAAAGTGTGAAAGAGAGATGAGAGAATATGTAAAAAGAGGAAGGAGGGGGAGAGTCATAAGGGAGAGAAAGAGGAGAAGGAGAAGGAAATGGAAAGAGAGATGAGAGAATATGAAAAGGGGAAGGAGGGGGAGGGGGGAGAGAGAGGGAGGTGTGAAAGAGAGATGAGAGAATATGTAAAGAGGAAGGAGGGGGAGAGTCATAAGGGGAGAGAAAGAGGAGAAGGAGAAGGAAATGTGAAGGAGAGATGAGAAGATACGTAAAAAGAGGAAGGAGGGGGGGGGGGGGAGGGAGAGAGGGAGGTGTGATAAAGAAGAGATTTATGAACAATGGTTTCGATATAATAACAATAAAGATAAGTATATTGATAATGACAATACTGAAGATAAGAAAAATGGTGAAAAATAATGCTAATAATAGCGACAACAATAACAATAATGATAACAAATATAAATGCAATAGAAAGAGTAATGATATACTAATAATGATAATAGCAAGAACAGCAATGATAACAATGATAATGATAATAATGGTGAATGATAATGATGATGATGTTAATAGTAATAATAGCAGCAATAATGATGATACTATCAATAATGATAATAATGGTATAAAAATGATAATAATAATATTATATTGATAATAATGTAATATATTGATAATGATAATGATGGTAGAATATATTATTATCATTGTTATGATAATAAAGATAATAATAACAATAATTATAATGATAATTGTTCTTGTAATAAGAACAAAGATAATGATAATACTGATAATAATAATGATAGAAATAAGAATGATAAAAATAATGATGATAATAATATTAATAGTAATGATAATGATAATACAAAAATAATGAAACTAATAATTTCAATTATAATATCAATAATGATTCATAGATATATGATTAATAGATACAATGTAGGAATGATATTGGTCATGATGATAAATGATATGATAATATTAATAATGATGATAGAGATGATGATAATGATAACAATAAAGATAATCATATTAATAATGATAATGATGATAATGATAATGATAATGTCATAATAATATCAGAATAACATAATGATAAGGATAAAAGTTATAATAATAATAATGATTAGAATAGAGTAACAATATAAATATAATAATAATAATAAAAAAAATGATCATTGTGATGATAGTAGTAGTAGTAATGATAACGATAATACTGATAAAAATATCAACAACAGTAATAGTTACTATGATAATGATGATGAAAATGATAATAATAATAATTATAATAATAATGATAATAATGAAACAATGATAATGATAATTACTACTACTACTTATAATAATAATGATAATAATAACAATAACAAAAACAATAATAAATATGATAATTATAAGGGTGAAAATACTGGTAACAGGTATAACAATGCTAGAAATAATAACAATAATAATGATAATGATGATAATAACAACAAGAGCACTAATATTGAAAAAAAATGATAACAAAAATAATAATAAAACTAATAGTGATGATAATAGTAATAATGTTAATACTAGTAAGAATAATAATGGTAAAAGTAAGGATGATTATAATAATTCAATAATGATTATATTGACAATAATAATGGCACTAATATTCATATCAATAGCGCTAATAGTAATAATGATAAAAATAGTAATAATAGTAATAGTAATGGTAGTAATACTAGTAATAATGATAGTATTTACAATGATAATGATGATGCTAATAATAATAACAATGATAATAATAATGATAATAATAATAATAACAATTATAATGATAATAATAATAATAATAATAATAATAATAATAATAATAATAATAATAATAATAATAATAATAATAATAATAATAATAATAATAATAATAATAATAATAATAATGATAATAATAATAATGAAAATAAGGATAATGATACGGATAATAATGATAACGATGATGATGATTATAATTCCAATACAGACTAGTCCAAAAAAATGGATTTAAGGAATGCATGAGGTATTTTTAAGTAAAAAGAAGTAAATCACAGTTTGTAAGGTACATTTGGTGCTGATAACGAATCTGGTGTTTTCTAAGCCCAGACATGTCTAATAAGGTTACTAATTAGGGTCAAATGTCAACGAGCATATTTTCATTTTTAGAAAATGTTTTATTAACCACTCCCTACCTATAAAATGAATTCATTTTACAAAATTTTTAATGATGAAGTTTCAAAATGTCCGATTTCAAGTTTTGCAAAAATCTCCCTAACGGAGCGACTACATTCATTTTTCATTTTACTGCATTTTTTTATTTTAAAACGCTCAGCAAAGTTAGTTTTCTTACTTGATTTAATGGTAAACTTCGCTAACTTGGATTGTTGTCTTTGCTAATTGTCTTGTTGATTATATTGATGCAAGGTCGCAAAGTGCCCAGTGGAACATACTGGACCCCATCTCTGATTTTCAACCATACCCAGAAACGTATATCTAAATCAGAGTGGTTATGCGCTAAAATACCTGTTAGGAAATGAGTTATTCTCTTATAGCCCAGTCTGCCTGTTAGGAAATGAGTTATTCTCTTATAGCCCAGTCTGCCTGTTAGGAAAGGAGTTATTCTCTTTAGCCCAGTCTGTTACTTTCTTTGTCTATCTGTCGTCTTGTCTCCGACATATATGCCCTGTCCATTCTTCTTCTTGATGCTCCCGAGTATATCTTCCACCTTTGTCTGTTCTCTGATCCACGTCGCCCTCATCCGATCTCTTAGGCTAATTCCCAGCATCGACCTTTCCATCCCTCTCTAAGTACTCATTAGTTTCCTCTCCAGTAATTTGGTTGTAGTCCAGGTTTCTGATCCATAGGTCATAACTGGGAAGACGCATTGGTTAAAGACTCTTTCTTTTTAAACACACTGGCAAGGAACCTCTTAGTATGCTACTAAGTTTGTCTAAGGCGCTCCAGCCTAGACTGATGCGTCGCTTTATTTCCTCTTCGCTAGATGTGTTTGTCTGTACGAGTTGTCCTAGATATATATACTTGTCCGCTACCTCTAGTACTTCGCCTTGTACATGTATCTTCTGTTCGAGTTGAACGCTACTGTTGAACATAACCTTAGTCTTTTTCTTGTTCATCCTAAGTCCAACTTTCCGACTTTCCCTGCTCCGATCGTTTATTAATTGCTGCATTTCCTTTACTGACCCAACTTTCTCTCATTTCTATATGAGGTGGTCATTATGGATGCGCCGCCTCCTATTACGGCTCATTCCGTACTGGCTTTGGCATGGGTTTTTTACAGCCGGATGCCCTTCCTGAAACCAACCCTCTCTATCCTGGCAAGGAACCTCTCTATCCCTGGCTTACGACCGTCACCCACAAAGGCTGGCTTGCCCCCCCCCCAAGTGGCTTTTACAATGGCCTATCAAGGTAAACTTCCTTGACTAAGGGCACAACGCGCCAGTCAGGGGACGCGTATGCACGTGTGTACAGAGTTACGAATACGGCACGCCTTATTAGTACCTTATAGAGTTACTAATAAGGCGTGCCGTATTCGTAAATCCTTCAGTGTCTCTCTGACCGTATTCGTAACTCCTTCACAGTGTCTCTCTGTCTGTTTTTTTCTCTCTCTCATTCCGTCGACAGAGGCGCTCAAGAAGTGCCAAAGGAGTTATGAATACGGTACGCCTTATTAGTAACTTATAGAGTTACTAATAAGGCGTGCCGTATTCGTAACTCCTTCACAGTGTCTCTCTGTCTGTTTTTGTCTCTCTCTCATTCTGTCGACAGAGGCGCTCAAGAAGTACCAAAGGAGTTACGAATACGGCACGCCCTATTAGTAACTTATAGAGTTACTAATAAGGCGTACAGTATTCGTAACTCCTTCACAGTGTCTCTCTGTCTGTTTTTTTTTTCTCTCTCTCATTCCGTCGAGAGAGGCGCTCAAGTGGTACCAAAGAGCCGGGGGAACTACCTCCTCTTTCCTGGTCCACGCGTGATACAACTCTGAAAATACACTTCTATGCTGTAGTCATTGTTGGCAGTTCAGTTGGGATATTTTCATACGATGACGAATCGGCGATGCTGTATCTGCCTCATGCGATACATATATTTGTATCGGTATTATACATTCTGCGATACATGTATTGGTATCGGTATCGCTTGAAAGAATCTACGAAGAATTGATTCATCGGGATCGCTTTTGCCAATTTTCAAGTATCGATGGATCGTTATCGCCTGAAATAGTTTCGTGTATCGATGGCCGTCATCACTGAATGTATATGTATATGTATACACACACACACACACATGGCCGCCATCACTGTATATATGTTTATGCACACACACACACACACACACACACACACACACACACACACACACACACACACACACACACACACACACACACACACACACACACACACACACACACACACACACACACACACACACACATACACACACACACACACACACACACACACACACACACACACACACACACACACACACACACACACACACACACACACACACACACACACACACACACACACACACACACACACACACACACACACACACACACTATTAATATATATATATATATATATATATATATATATATATATATATATATATATATATATATATATATATATATATATATATATAAACACACACCTTTCTACCCGTTTATTTATGTACTCATTTATCTAATATGTGAATTGTGAATTTACATGAAGTTTTGTTTTCAGTTGTGATGAGTCCAAATACAGGAGGTCTAAAGAGCTACGAGGACTTCGTTATAAATGGTGTGAAGACGGATTCAATTCGTGAATTTCTAAGGTAACGAACATGATGGTATATGACTGCCTAAGAAAAACCAAAATAGTCTTACCTAAAATATCATTTTCTATAAAGATTTCACCACAGAGAAATGTATTTTCATGGGTAACTAATATAAACTAATAACTTTTATTCCAGCTTTATGATTTGCAAGAACCTACTAACATGTAATCTTCCTCTTTTATTCAAGGAACCTGACAGTGTCCCCCCACCAGGCAGGAAGCGCCCGGGACCTAGATATTGCAAAGTGGATTAAGGACCAATGGATCGAACATGGTCTCTCGAACGTAAAACTTATCCCCTATGAAGTGTTTCTCTCGCACCCTGACGCCGATAATCCTAACATGGTACAGCTGAATGATTTTAATACTTGGTCTGTTTACAGTATCTACTTATTATACTATTGCATGTTTTTTTTTTTTTTTTTTTTTTTTTTTTTTTTTTTTTTTTTTTTTTTTTTTTTTACAAGCAATGCCATTGTCAATGCAGTCATTAAAGATATATTTCGTAAGTAATATATATATATATGTATATATATATATATATATATATATATATATATATATATATTTAATCTCAATAGTTTTGTTAGTGGGAAACCTTTATATATGTGTATGTGTTTTTGGTGAAACGGTTTTTGAAATTTGACACATTTATCTGCACATATATCTTAAGCTAAGTCAAGGAAGGGAAAGTGTCTTAATACCGGGAACCCCAACATAAGCACGTCACTGATGTGCTGTCACGGTCAAAATTCTTGTCAAACATGATTCTAGTTCCTTTTCGAACACCTTTTTGTTCCCTCAATTTTTGTATAGGGTAAGACAGATTCGAAGCTTCATTTCAGTGATTCATTTAATTTCATTTCTCTCTTTATCTCTCTCTATCTCTCTCTATGTCGCTTTCTCTCTCTCTCTCTCCCTCTCCTTTCTCCTTTCTCTCCTCTCTCTTCTCTCTCTCCCTCTCTTCTCTCTCTTCTCTCCTCTCTCCCTCCCCCTCTCCCTTCCTCTTCTCTCTCCTATCTCTCCACTATATTTACTTAATTAACCTTCTCACCATCGTACTCCCATCATAGTTCCACATCCTGGACCACGAAGGCAACGTGACCCACAGCTCGAACCCACATCAGCCTCCTGTAGAAGCAACACCTCCTGTGGGACAAGAAAGCATTTTGTCCTTCAACGCTTTCTCGGCCAATGGGACAGTGCAGGTGGGAGGAAGGTTTTCAATTTTTCTTCTATTAATTGGTATATTTGGTGGGAAGGTTTTCAATTCTTCTTGTATCTATTAATGATTGGTATATTTCATGTCGTTAGAAGTTTTCAATTCTTCGTGTATTAACGATTGGTATATTTTTTCTGTCGTTAGAAGTTTTCAATTCTTCGTGTATTAATTGGTATATTTTTCTGTCGTTAGAAGTTTTTCAATTCTTCGTGTATTGTTAATGATTGGTATATTTTTCTGTCGTTAGAAGTTTTCAATTCTTCGTGTATTAGTGATTGGTATATTTTTCTGTCGTTAGAAGTTTTCAATTCTTCGTGTATTAATGATTGGTATATTTTTCTGTCGTTAGAAGTTTTCAATTCTTCGTGTATTAATGATTGGTATATTTTTCTGTCGTTAGAAGTTTTTCAATTCTTCGTGTATTAATTGGTATATGTCGTTATTTTCAATTCTTTCTGTCGTTAGAAGTTTTCAATTCTTCTTGTAATTAATGATTGGTATATTTTCCTGTCGTTAGAAGTTTTCAATTCTTCGTGTTATTATGATTGGTAATATTTTTCTGTCGTTAGAAGTTTTCAATTCTTCGTGTATTAATGATTGGTATATTTTTTTCTGTCGTTAGAAGTTTTCAATTCTTCGCGTATTAATGATTGGTATATTTTTCTGTCGTTAGAAGTTTTCAATTCTTCGTGTATTAGTGATTGGTATATTTTTCTGTCGTTAGAAGTTTTCAATTCTTCGTGTATTAATGATTTGGTATATTTTTCTGTCGTTAGAAGTTTTCAATTCTTCGTGTATTAATGATTGGTATATTTTTCTGTCGTTAGAAGTTTTCAATTCTTCTTGTATTAAATGATTGGTATATTTTCTGTCGTTAGAAAAATTCTTCGTGTATTAATGATTGGTATATTTTCTGTCGTTAGAAGTTTTCAATTCTTCGTGTATTAATGATTGGTATATTTTTCTGTCGTTAGAAGTTTTCAATTCTTCTTGTATCTATTAATGATTGGTATATTTTTCTGTCGTTATTGTTGTTCATGGTACAACTGTTATTGTTATCGTTACTGTTATTATTCCAGTATTATTATCACTGTTGCTGCTAACTGTTATAATGGTGATAAAAGTCATTATAATGATAATTATGAGAATGGTAATGATAACAAATATGATAACAATAACAATGATAATGATGACAATAACAAAGATGATAATGATGACAATAACAAAGATAATAATGATGATAATTACAAAGATAATAATGATGATAATAACAGAAATGATAATGGTAAAATAATGATAATGATACTGAAATTGACTGTAAAATGAGAATGATATATGATCATGATGATAATAATGTTAATGGTGATGATAATGATGATAAATAAATAAATAAAAAAGAGAGAGAAAAAAAAAATGACAAATGCTGCTACTATTACTACTACTACTAACACTACTAAAGATAATAAAGTTAATGATAACGAGAATTATCATTACTGACACTATTATTACATTTATTATTATTATCATCATTTCCTATTGTTTGATAACTTTTCTACATTTCTGAAATAACATTCTTTTGCAGTGAACCTTTTCAGCAATACTGCAATTTTTCGTAAATCATTTATGCATATATATTATTAACAAATTTCATCATACGGATAAAAATAATAGTTGGGTTATCAACAGAATAATAAGAGAATTATTACAGTATAATACTATTAGGAAGCATTAACTTAGCAAAATACTGAAACTCGAAAAAATATTGATGGATAATGTTTAAGTAATATATTTAGCCGATGACTAAATTTACGTAATTATTGTATTTTCTGGCTATGATAATTCTGATATCCTTTACGTTGCTAATGCTCGATTTTATTTGATTCACACACACACACACACACACACACACACACACACACACACACACACACACACACACACACACACACACACACACATATATAATATATATATATATATATATTATATATATATATATATATATATATATATATATATGTATGTGTGTGTGTGTGTGTGTATCTGTGTTTGTATGCGAGTTTTTTACATATTTTATCAACTTATTTACTTTAGCAGTGAACTATTTAATTTGTTAATTTATTTGTTTATTTCCAAACGCAGAAGACTTGCTGATATCTAGAATAGCATCATCACAGTCACATCCTCCTCATCATCATCTTCATCATCATCATCTTCATCACCATCATCATCACCATCACCATCTCATCTTCATCATCATCATCTTCATCATCTCATCCTCTCCTCATTCCCCATCTCTCAATCCTCATCACCATTCTCATCCTCATCACCATCCTCATCCTCATCACCATCATCCTCATCACCATCATCCTCATCACCATCCTCATCCTCATCATCATCCTCATCACCATCCTCATCACTCATCACCATCATCATCACCATCATCATCCTCTCACCATCCTCATCAATCATCTCATCACCATCCTCCTCCGCATCATCACCATCCTCACCCTCATCACCATCCTCATCTCTCGCCATCCTCATCTCACCATCCTATCATCGATCCTCCTCCTCCTCCTCCTCCTCCTCCTCATCATCATCATCATGTTCATCATCATCATCATCACCATCATCCTCATCCCATCGCCTCCTCCTCATCACATCATCTCGATTAAATCTCGTTAAGGTGATGCTACACTAGCACTTTTTCCCTCAATTTTTTTTTTTTGTCAATTTTATTTAACATGAATACAAACATTCTCGAATATAGCTCTTGATTTGACTTTTAGCTGAAAAAAGTTGACGGAAAGGTTTTCAGATTTCAGGTTTATCGTCTGACTCGAAAATCGACAATTCGCTCAAAAAAATGGACAAAATTTCAGAAAATTGTCAAAAAAATTGACTGAAAAAAGTGCGTGTGACAGCACCTTAACTGTTATGATTATTGCTGTTGTTGCTTTTTTGACTTACTGTCGGTTTGTTAGAATTGTGCGAGGCCCGACCCAAAGAATATTCACATACTTGACATACATAAATAAAGAAATAGATAGATATTTATCAGTCTAGACATGTATATCAACCGGACAAATAGATAGTTCAATGTACATCTATCAGAAATATAGACAGATACGCCTTTATCTCTGCCTTTGTATTTGTGAAAATTCATTGGTTCGGACCTGGCACAATTTTGACAAACCGGCTGTCAATCGCGTTTTGACATGACAGGTGTCTCGCGTCGTGTATGCCAACTACGGTTCCCTCGATGACTTTGATCTCTTGGAAGAAATGGGCGTGGACGTGGGCGGTGCTATCGTGGTCATCCGATACGGGAAGCTGTTCAGAGGAGACAAGGTGGGTGGTTCGGTGGTTCGGTGGTTCGGTGGTTCGGTTACTGTCTTTGATTTTTTTTATGAATTAATTTTTTATGTGTTGTTTGTTTTAGATCTTTCTATTTGTTTTTCTCTCCTTTTCTTTTTATTTATGTGTCTGGGTCTAATAATTGTGGGCAAATATGTGTGTTTGTATCAGTCAGTCTCTGCTTGTTTGTCTGTCTCTCTCCCTCTCTCTATAAATCTCTCTCACTCGGATTATAATACATTATCTTATCGTTAATTGCTAAAAAAAATAAACAAGGATATTATCATACAATCCAATAAACAAGGAATTATGAGAAAATGCAAAATTTTTATCACAAGGAAAGTGGACGAAAGAGATAAAGAAATTAGAAATACATTGTTGTGTGTACGTGTCACTATATATTCAAGTTTGTGTATTATAGGTTTATGAAATAGATATGAATTGATACAGCTCTCTTCGTCCGGATTGCATAACATACCACACCACTGACCTGACCACTCCTGATTCCCCTCAAATACCCATACCAATACCAATACCACCCACGAATGTTGTGTGTACGTGTGTCACTGTATATTCAAGTTTGTGTATATAGGTTTATGAAACAGACATGAATTGATACAGCTCTCTAAGTCCGGATTGCATAACATACCACATTCTGACCACTCCTGATTCCCCCCCCAAATACCCATAACCAATACCCATACCACCCACGAATGTTGCGTGTACGTGTGTCACTGTATATTCTAGTTTGTGTATAGGTTTAATGAAATAGATATGAATTGATACAGCTCTCTAAGTCCGGATTGCATAACATACCACACTCTGACCACTCCTGATTCCCTCTCAATACCCATACCAATACCCATACCACCCACGAATGTCACAACCCCACCCCACTCACCCCCCCTGCAGGTACGGTTCGCGAGAGGATCGGAGGGCGGTGGGCGTGATACTGTACACGGACCCCAAGGAACGTGCTCAGCCTTACCTTGGGCCGAAGCCAGTACCCGCAACACCGTTTACGCATCCCCCGCGGGGTCCACGCAGCTGGGGTCCCTTCGCGTTCTCCAGGGGGACCTTCTTACTCCCGGTATCCAGCCACAGGTACCTCTGAGAGAAATTATCTTGTTTATCAATATATTTATCTGTTTTTCTTAAATTAACAATACATTTCCCACGGTGTAAGTACATGAGCTTCTGGTACGTGTGACAAGTGATAAACACGGATTTTTTTTTTTATCTGCCACCTGGATTAGGATAAAAATGATATAATTCATATTGATGATGGTGATGATGATACATATATAAAATGATGATGATGATAGTGTGGTGGTGATACTATTACTACTACTACTACCTTTATAATTACTTATTACTACTACTGGCTGCTGCTACTGCTACTACTACTGACCATCATTCTAATATCATTACCATTGTCATTATTATTATCTCCTCATTATCTTAGTCCTCCTCCTCTCCTCCTCATCATCATCATACTCATCATCATCTTCATAACCGCTCCTCCTCCTCCTCTATGCCTCTCCTCCTCCTCCTCTCCTCCCTCCTCCTCACTCCTCATAATCATGCATCATCATCATAATCCTCCTCCTCCTCGTCATCTTCATCTTTCTCCTCTTCCTCCTCATCATCATTCTTCATCTTTCTCCCTCCTTCTTCCTCTTCTCCTCTCCTCCCTCCACATCATCGTCATCATCATCCTCTTCCTCAGCCTCTTCCTTATCATCATCATCATTTTTATCCCCCTCCTTCTTATCATCATTTCATCATCTATCATATCCTCCTCCTCCTTGTTCTCATCATCATCTTCCTCCTCCTCCTCCCTCCTCCTCGTCATCTTCATCTTCTTCTTTCTCCTTCTTCTCCTCCTCCTCCCTGTCTCTCCTCCTCATCTCCTCCTCCTCCTCCTCATCATCATCATTCATCACCACCATTCACAAATACATGACGCGACGTGAAATGCTCATCCCCGTTCAGCATTACTCATCACCATCAATATTTCAAAGATCCTGATGTGTCAATAACGAAGAGAGAAATATGCCTTAAAGCAGAAAAAAGGTGAATGAGTTATCCTATTTTCTGTGTCCCTTGATTATCCGTACCCCTCCTCGAATCCTCTCCTCTGTCCTTCCTCCTCCTCCTCCTCCTCCTCTTACTCCTCCTCCTCTTCCTCTCTCTTCTCCTCCTCCTTCCCTCCTCCTTCTCTCCTTCCTATAATAGTTTTGTTTGCCCCCCTTTCCCTCTTCCTCTGTTCCTTACTGATCTCCTTCTTATATTCTTCTTCGTCTCTTTCCCTCTCCTTCTTTTTCCTTCCTTATCTTCTCTCATGTTCCTCCTTTCTTCTCTCTTTCTTCTCTCCTTCCTTCCTCTTTCCTTATCTTTCATCCCTCTTCCTCTACTCCCCCTGTTCTTCCCCCCTCGCATTCTCCTTCTCGATCTCCTTCTCTCCCCTATCCTTCTATCTTCTCTCTCCCCATATTCCACAATTGCATTTCCATCCCCTTTTCCTTTCCTCCACTTCCCCACCCCCACCCACCTATCCCTGTATCCCCTCTCTCAACCCCCTCCCCTCGCCCCCTTCCCCCTCGTCCCTGTAATCCTCTCTACCCCCTCTCCCCCCCGTCCCTGTATCCCCTCCTCTACCCCCCCCGTCCCCCCCTCATGTATCCCCTCTCTACCCCCCCCCACCCCGTCCCCTGTATCCTCTCTCTACCCCCCTTCCCTCCTCCCCTCGTCCCTGACCCCCCCTCTCTCTACCCCCTCGCCGTCCCTGTATCCTCTCTCTTCCCCCCCCTCCCCCTCGTCCCCACCCACCCCCCTTCTCTCTCTCTCCATATCCACGATCTCACATCCCCATCTCCCCACCTTTCCCTTCCCCTTCCCCTCCCCTCCTCCCCCCTTTTCCCTTCCCCCTTCCCCTCCCCCACCCGAAGATTGGAAATTATATGGCCCGAGGCGACGAAATCAAACCTCCCGATTGATTCACGGTCTTATAAGTACATTCAAAGAAGCGGAGAATTTGATTACGGCCAATCGTGAGAACCTTATATGGTGGGCGTCGACAAGAGTCCTGGACTGTTACTTCCGGCAGGTCTGAGAGAAGTTTTATGACGTCAATGATATATTTTTTTTTTTCTTTTATCATTATGAATGGTTATTTAAAGAAGACGAGAGAATTCTGTGAGGTTTGAAAATTGATGTGATTTTTTTTTCTTCGGTTGGTGTGATGTTTTGATTAATTAAAAGGGGGTGATTTATGATTTTTATTGGTATTTTTTTTTTTTTTTGTTCTTCTTTTTTTATCCTTTCTTGTTGTATCTTCCCCTTTCTTCCTCCTCCTCTCTCTCTCTTCTCTCTCTCTCTCTCTCTCTCTCTCTCTCTCTCTCTCTCTCTCTTCTCTCCCTCCTCTCCTCCCTCTTTCTTTCTCTCTCTCTCTCTCTCTCTCTCTCTCTCTCTCTCTCTTCTCTCTCTCTTCCCCTTCCTCTCACCATCCATTCTCTCCCTCCCCTTCTTCCCTTCTCTCTCTCACTGTTTCTCCTCCCTCATTTTTCTCTCACCATTTCTCTCCCTCTACCCCCTCTTCCCTCTCTCTCTCTCTCTTCTCCTCCCTCTTTCTCTCCCGAATTCGAGTCCAATAACATAATGTTCCGACAGAATCCGCTCACCGAATTCCTGAAGAACAAACGGATTCGCCGGGGATTCCTGTTCAACCTGTTGGCTATGAGGATGCTCAGCAGATCCTCAGGTATTTACGGTTTTCCACACGCACATACTCACACATACTCACTCACACACACATACGCACATACGCACGCACACACACACAGTCAGTCAGTCACACGCACACACACACTTAGTCACACTCACACACACACACACAACACACAAACACACACACACACACACACACACACATACACACACACTCACACACACACACACACACACACACACTCACTCACTCTCTCTTCCCATTCACTCACTCACATACACAAAACGCACACTGTGTACGTATATCTATCCATATACTCATACCGTTTACTACACAGTGAACAATAAAGTGTGTATGTATTTATGTACAAACACACGATCCACGAGATCTTATGAATATCTTTTTCAGCATCTTAGAAGGCGACAGCGCACCCGATGAGTGGCAGGGAGGTCTTGACATGGATTACAAGCTGGGTGGTGACCTGGCAGGACACGAGGTCAGATTGGAGGTCCACAATGTGAATTCTAGGGAACAGGTGTACAACGTGGTAGGAGCTCTAATTGGCCAAGAAGAACCAGGTGATTGGTGTGATTTGGAGCAAGTGAAATTCACATTTTATTTTTTTAATCTGTCTTTGCTCATCAAGCGATAGTGAGAGACCAAACGCAGTAATAATTCACAAATATTCATATTTTTATTAATAATATTTTGCTTAAAGATCGTTACTCTCATTACACAAATTTTCATAGCTTTTTATTAATATATTTTTATTGCTTAAATTTAGATCGTTACTCACACAACAATAATTCACAAATTTTCATGTATTTTATTGATCACTTTTTCTTATGGTTTAAAGATCGTTACACACCCAACAATAGTTCACAAAATTTTTCGACTTTTATGGATCATTTTCTTACTAAAAGATCATTACACATCAACAATAATCCACATTTTCATGTCAACTATCCCTTTTTTCTTATTATTTTAAAGATCGTTACATCACCCAACAGTAATTCCCACATTTTCATGTCTTAATTATCCCTTTTTTCTTATTAATTTAAAGATCGTTACACACCCAACAATAAAACACAAACTTCCATGTATTTTATTTGATCACTCTTTTCTTACTAAAAGATCGTTACACATCCAACACTAATTCCCACATTTCATGTCCTTAACTATCCCTTTTTCGTATTATTTATTGTTCACACCCAACTAAATTCCCAACATTTCCATGTCTTAATTACCCCTTTTCTTATCATTTAAAGATCGTTACGGTACTGATCGGGAACCACTACGATGCCTGGACCTACGGCGCGGGATCGACCCCTCATCGGCCACCGCCACGCTACTCGAACTCGCCCGCTTGTTCGGCGAGATGTACAGGGACGGCTGGCGGCCCCGGAGGTAGGAGGGGAGGGGGAGGGGAAGGAAGGACAAGGAAAGAGGAAGGAAATAGAGAAGGAAGGATGATGATGGTGAAAGAAAAATGAAGGGAAGGGGAAGTGAGAGAGAGAGGAGAGGGGGAGGGAGAGGGAGAGGGGGGAGGGAAGGGAGAGAAGGATGATATGGTGAAAGGAAAGTGAAGGGGAAGGGGAAGTGAGAGGGGGAGGAGAGAGGGAGAGGGGGGGGAGGAAGGATGATGATGGTGGATGATGGGTGGTGAAAGAAAAATGAAAGGGAAAGGAGAGAGAAGAGAGAGAGAGGTAGGAGGGGAGGGGGAGGGAGAGAGGATGATGGTGGTGAAAGAAAAATGAAGGAGAAGGGGAAGAGAGAGAAGAGAGAGAGAGGTAGGATGGGGCGGGGAGGAGAGAAGGATGATGGTGGTGAAAGAAAATGAAGAAGGGAATAGGGAGAGGAGAGGAAGAGAGAGAGGGAGAGGGAGAGGGGGAAGGGAGAGGGAGAGGGAGGGGAAGAGGGGAGAGGGAGAGGGAGAGGGAGCAGAGAGACAAATAGATAGAGAGAGAGAGAGAGATAGATAGAGAGAGAGAGAGAGAGAGAGAGAGAGAGAGAGAGAGAGAGAGAGAGAGAGAGAGAGAGAGAGGAGAGAGAGAGAGAGAGAGAGAGAGAGCAGAGAGAGAGAGAGAGAGAGAGAGAGAGAGAGGAGAGAGAGAGAGAGAGAGAGAGAGAGAGAGAGAGAGAGAGAGAGAGAGAGAGAGAGAGAGAGAAAGGGAAGAGGGAGAAGGGAGGGGAAGAGGGGACACGAGAGAGGGAGAGAGAGAGAGAGACTGAGATGAGAGAGAGAGAGAGAGACAGAGAGAGAGAGACTGAGAGAGAGAGACTGAGAGAGAGAAGAGAGAGAGGAAGAGGGAGAGACTGGAGAGAGAGGGGAGAAGAGAGAGAGAGACTGAGAGACTGAGAGAAAGAGAGAAAGAGAGAAAGAGAGAAAGAGAGAAAGAGAGAGAGAGAGAGAGAGAGAGAGAGAGAGAGAGAGAGAGAGAGAAGAGAGAGAGAGAGAGAGAAGAGAGAGAGGAGAGAGGAGAGAGAGAGAGAGAGAGAGGAGAGAGACAGAAAGAGAGAGAGAGAAGAGAAGAGAGAGAGGAGAGAGAAAGGGAGAGAGAGAGGGGAAGAGAGGGACAGAGAGGGAGAGAGAGAGAGCTGAGATGAGAGAGACTGAGGAGAGAGAGGAGGAGAGAGAGAGGACTGAGAGAGAGAGACTGAAGAGAGAGGAGACTGAGAGAGAGAGAGAAGACTGAGAGAGAGAGACTGAGAGAGAGAGACTGAGAGAGAGAGAGAGAGAGAGAGAGAGACTGAAGAAGAGACGAGAGAGAGGAGACTGAAGAAGAGAGAGACTGAGAGAGAGAGAGGAGAGAGAAGAGAACTGAAGAGAGAGAGACTGAGAAGAGACTGAGAGAGAGAGAGAACTGAGAGAGAGAGAGACTGAAGAGAGAGAGACTGAGAGAGAGAGACTGGAGAGAGAGAACTGAGAGAAGAGACTGAGAAGACTCGAGGAGACGACTGAGAGAGAGAGACTGAGAGAAGAGAGAACTTGAGAGAGAGAGAACTGAGAGAGAGAGAACTGAGAGAAGAGAGACTGAGAGAGAGAGAACTGAGAGAGAGAGAACTGAGAGAGAGAGACTGAGAGGAGACTGAAGAGAGAGACTGAGAGAGAGAGAAGGAGAGAGAAGGACTGAGAGAGAGAGAACTGAGGAGAGGAGACTGAGAGAGAGAGACTGAGAGAGAGAGAGACTGAGAGAGAGAGACTGAGAGAGAGAGACTGAGAGAGAGAGACTGAGAGAGAGAGGACTGAGGAGAAGAGACGTGAGAGAGAGAGACTGAGAGAGAGAGCAGAAGAGAGAAGAGAGACTGAGAGAGAGAGAGAGAGAGAGAGGGAGAGGAGAGACTGAGAGAGAGGAGAGAGAGAGAGAGAGAGAGAGAGAGAGAGAGAGAGGAGAGAGAGAGGAGAGAGAGATAGAGAGAGAGAGAGATGAGAGATAGAGATAGAGATAGAGATAGGAGATAGAGATAGATAGATAGATAGAGAGAGGGGGAGAGAGAGAGAGGGAGAGAGAGAGAGGAGAGAGAGAGAGAGAGAGAGAGGAGAGAGAGAGAGAGAGAGAGAGAGAGAGAGAGAGAGAGAGAGAGAGAGAGAGCGAGAGCGAGCAGAAAGAGAAGAAAGCACAAGGTACAGCAGGACAGGATACTCACCAAACATATAGTCATCCCTGAACCAAAACACATTAAGAAAGGACAAAGAAAATGTCAGAAATGCTTGGGTATTTTTTTTCTTTTTTGGGGTATTTTTAGTTTTTCTTTTGTTTTTCTTTTTTCGATACTCACGTTCTGTTATCTCTCCTGCAGGACCCTCGTCTTCTGCAGCTGGGCGGCGGAGGAACCTGGCGTCATCGGATCAACTGAGTTCGCGGAGCAGTTCAGCGCCATCCTGAAGGACCGCGCTGTTGTGTACCTGAACGTGGACATGGTCATGGAAGGTAGAGGGAACATTTTATGCAAAAAGTATTTTTTTTTTATCTTACATTATAATTTATAATTACATTATATTAAACGTGGACATGGTGATGGAAGGTAGAGAGAACAATTTATGCAAAAAGTATTTTTTTTATCTTACATTATATTAATAATTACATTATATTAAACGTGGACATGGTGATGGAAGGTAGAGAGAACATTTTATACAAAAGTATTTTTTTTATCTTACATTATAATTTATAATTACATTATATTAAACGCGGACATGGTCATGGAAGGTAGAGGGGAACATTTTATACAAAAAGTATTTTTTTTTATCTTACATTATAATTTATAATTACATTATATTAAACGTGGACATGGTGATGGAAGGTTAGAGGGAACATTTATCAAAAAGTATTTTTTTTATCTTACATTATAATTATTTATATTACATTATATTAAACCGGACATGGTGATGGAAGGTAGAGGGAACATTTTATACAAAAAGTATTTTTTTTATCTTACATTATAATTTATAATTACATTATATTAAACGCGGACATGGTCATGGAAGGTAGAGGAACATTTTATGCAAAAATATTATTTTACGTGATATTAAATATTGACTTAGGCGATATAGCTTTTAGGGAAATACTGTTAAACTCGTTTGTTATCACAGCCACTAGGTCTTCAGTTTGATGTGTATTTATATTTCCTTCGTGCTGATTGTAAGTGGTCAGGAAAAAGAAAGATTTAAGAACTTAGTGCAGTTTAGAGTAAAGAAAAAACATGAGTTTTATGTTTACTTCCTATCCTTTCTGCTCAGAGGGCGCTGAAATACGAAAGGAAGGTCGCAGAACCTTAACGTGGGGTTGTATGCTTGCTTCTAGAAGGTGGAGGAAATACTGGCGACATGGCTAATTTCTGATAGATGTCACGAGGATAAACTTATCTGTCTCTTTTCTCTCCTCAGGGAACTACGGATAAAATAATCTATCTCTTTTCTCTTCTCAGGGAACTACGGATAAAATAATCTCTTTTTTCTCCTCAGGGAACTATTCCTTCATGGCCAGCGCCGTCCCGACACTCTATGACGTCATCGTTGACACCTCGAAGCTCGTGCCCAACCCGGACCGGGACGAGGTCGAGGCGGGGCGTGGCACCCTGTACGACACGTGGGTCCACCCGCTTCCCCAAGAACGAAGCCTGGTGGTGGAGGGCCCGACGTCGCAGCCGCTCTTCCACTCCCTCGGCACCGGCAGCGACTTCCGGGCGTACGTGTTCAACCTGGGGATCCCTTGCT